AGTCAAGGAAATTTATGATTCTTTCCGCTCATAAATGAAATACAGAAATTACATTAGGTATGTGAAATTATGTTCCCTTTTAGAATGCAAAGAATTGGACCTAATGTTTATTTAATAATTTAATAATTCTATATCTATACTATATATAAATATAGCTGAGTAGATACTAGTTTAGCAGTCTGAATCTTGCTGCTGGGTGTCTGTCAACTAAGTTTGCATAAAAATTAACATAATATTATTATGTTTAGTGAAATGAAATATGAAACATAACTTTCCCAAGTTTGTTTTCCCCATAGATATATAGGTGTATGATGAAATCTGTTAAAAACTATCCTTAGCAGGCATATTCTGTTCTAAGGTTGTACAAGCCACATTCATGCTTTCAGAGGAAAGATTTACCCTTTCTTGAGGGAGTTCAATATATAATAAAAGAAACAACTGCAGTCTCCAATTTCCAAACATGGCTTAAAAACTGGCTGTTTGGAATTTAGGTTCAGAGGTCAATTATAAAAGGCAATTTCCCTCTCAACTGTAGATAAAATTTTACGCATTTGGATTAAAATAATATGAAAGCAATAAAATTTAGCTCCAAAACAGTAAGAGTAGAAAAGACCACTGAAATACAAACCTTTAAGAACATGTAGCAGTCTAACTTTCCCCAAAACCCCTCCTCTCTGTCAAAACAAAATAGACAGTGACTCATAGCAGTTTCCTCCTTGTTTTAATCAGACTGCCCTGTCTCAGAAACTACAAATGTGACCTATGCTTAGCCCCAAAATCAGACCACCTAGAAGAAAGTAGTAAATTACAACTCTTATATTTGTTAGTCTATGAATACCTTAAAAATTGAATAACCCTAGTATCCAAACAAGGCTTTACACAGTTTGCTGGATGAATGTAAACACAAGGTACACTGATAGATTTAAAAATATATACAGGTTGAGCATGCCTAATCCAAAAATGCAAAGCTCAAAATGCTCCAAAATCTGAAACTTTTTTATTTTAGATTTTTGGATTAGGCATGTTCAACTGGTAAAGTCTATGCAAATATTGCAAAATACAAAAAATTCTGAAATCTAAAAACACTCTGGGTCCCAGGTGTTTCAGAAAAAGAATATTTGTATTGTATAATTCTTTCTTTCAAGGAGATTTTGTTTGTTTGGGTATGTGTGGATGTTGTTGTTGTTGTTGTTGTTGTTGTTCTTTCTAGTACTGGGCACTGAACCTAAGGGCCTTTCCTCTAACCTACATTCCCAGCTCTTTTTTTATTTTTTATGTTTGAGACAGGTTCTCACTAAGCTGCTGAATTTCCCAGGCTTGTCTCACATTAAAAATTCTCCCACCTGGGCCTCCCAGAGTGCTGGGATTTCAGGTGTGATCAACCACACCCAGCTCAAGAAGATTTGAAATGAGTATGGAAGAGATTAGATAAACATAAAGTGTTTATGCTCTGGTGTCAGCAAAGCATGACTACTAAGTTTAAAGACAATTATAATGCTAGTTCCCTTGTAGGTTTAGAATATAGCCCTACCTAGCTCATTCATTCATTCAGCAAAAATGTTTACAAAGTTGCCCAGTGTTTGTCAAGTGTATTTGTTCGGGGAGGTATGCAAAAATAATCATAATGCAAATAGCTGATGCAATCAAGTTGGGATTACAGTTACTGTCTGAAAATTCTATCATAATTCCATCAAGAACGGACACATACTTGACACTTAGCACTGCTTTCAAGTCCTTTGGCACAGTTTCAACATCTGCAAGTGAACATAACTATATCTAACATTTGCTAATATAAACAAACGTAAACGATCAATACATGACAAAGGTCTTGGAAATTACAACTTCTCTGTGAACACACAATATTGATGCATTACAAATATCTCTGTAGTTTAAATGAAATATGTCGTGTGCTCTCTGAATTTTAAGTGGTTCTATAAGACATAAACAGTAAGGAAGTACTCCATAAAATACTGAATGAATACTGAAAACCAACTCCAAACAGTATGAAGGCTGACCATTTTTAAAGCAAATATAGTTTTGTAAATTTTAAATAATTACACTTTTCATTTACCAGTAAGTTCAAATTTCTATATATGATCTTTCTTTTTTTTTTTTTTTTTTGGTACTGGAGATCGAACTTGGGACCTTGCGCTTGCACGGCAGGCACCAGAACCACTGAGCTAAATCCCCAGCCCCTATATGATCTTTCTTTAAGGAGAATTTATCTTTACATAATTTTCTATTCCAGTATTGATCATTTTCACAGAAGACTGACATCCATAGTGACCAAAAAATTTAATATAAAATGTAATATAAAGCATATAGTACTGTGCAAACTGACTTCCAGCACAGTGTTCTTTGCTTCATTTTCTTTTTCTACATGACACAAAATGAAGTAATCTGGACATGTTTTTCTCATCTTCAGTAAACTATTCAGCAACTTCTCTCTGCCACAGTTTCTGTCCCTGTATCCACTCATGGAAACAGAAACACACCTGAGAATCCTCTCAACAAAGTTGTTTTTTGTTTGTTTGTTTTTTTCCTCAAATAGCTTTCAGTGATGGGAGAAAAAGAGAATAAGGAACAGATGAGGGAAACAGGGAATTTTTTTTAAATAATAAGAAAGAAAATCAGAGAAGAAAGGAATAAAAGTCTTATTTTTATATGGCCCTTAAGAGTTAGGCTGCAGAACTTTGCTGAACATGAAGTAGAATACAACAAGAAACACTCTCGGGATAAATTCTCTAGAAGAGGAGGTAGCAGAGACCAAACCAAAGGATTAGGGACCTAACCATTGAAGATTCCCTTATATACACTTCTACTAGAAACTGCATATGCCCCTGTTTGCTACTAATGCATTCTGCTATGTGGTCACTTTTATGTCTGTCCTCATCACTACAAAGTGATGCTGACTCCTAGCTGCATCTCAACAGCTTCTTTTCATTCAGTCTCAAATAGTCTCCAGCCCTCCATAGGATCAGGTCAAAAACATCTCTTTTCTAAGGACAAACTGATTTGGTTTGGTTTTGTCTTAGTAGGGGAGGAAGTAAGAACAACTGAGAAAACGAAATAAAACAAGGTTTCAGGTACATGTTGCTATTCTTAATATTCATGTAACTCTTCATTATATGTATTAGATAGTTTAAGTATTATTTGATTATAATAGAAAATAGAGATTTAGGAGTTAGAGAATGACATCTAAATATTTATGAAAACTTAATAGCTAGCTTTCATGGCAACACAAAAACAGTAGGTAAAAATTTTCATTTTCTAAGACCTGGACTAAATTTCATATCCCACAGCTAGCATATATTCTTTCTTGTACTATATTATTTTCCCTCATTATATAGCAAGTTGAAATTTATATCATTATTTAATATTTGCCTTCGGGAAAGTTCAACCACACTTTTGAAACTATTAATTCAAACTGTTATCAAATGTAAGTTTACAGTAATGGAAATATGCAGTGTCAAGTTTTGTTCTTGATATCACATGTTGTGATCATTTTGAGAAGAAAATGCCTGCCTCTGATTTATTTCTATTTCTCTCCCTCCTTAATCTACTTGTACATGCATATACATATCCACATATTCATATACTTTTAAACTATTCCACTTACTTTAAAAACTATTCATACATTTCAGTGTGAAAGTTGTTTTTAAAAGATTTACCTCTTTCCCCTAGAAATATTAGGTAAGAAAATTACAAAAACTTCCTGAGTGAAAAAAATTATCTGTTCTTCTAGAACCACAAGATTTTAAAACAAGCAATCATGTCTGAGCTTTACAGCATCTTTGTTACACTAATGAAATTTTTCCTAAAATATTATTTGTTGTGTTTTTAATATGAAAGTTTCTCATATAATTCTCACATAATCAAAATCACATGTGAAATTATTGCCACTATAAAAATATTCATAAAAATGAGAAGATAATTTTGGTCAAATATGTCTATTAAAACCTAAATAGAACTTATACTACAATATTCAAATCAAATATAATAATATTATGCAATTTGAGAGAAAATTTATTTGCCCTCACAAACCTTTTTATCCTACATCTTTTCATAAATATAACTGGTTTGATATCGAAAATGAATGCATTATAAGGGCTAGGCACATAGGACAGTGTTATAGCATTTGTTTAGGATGTGTGAGGCTCTGGGTTTGAACCTAGAATTGCAAAAGCAAAAAATCAATTGTAAAAATAAAAGCATTTTAGAAACTAAAGAGTACAACGTGCAAAAAGAACCTTCCTGTGGAAAGCCAGTTTGCATATTATTAAAAGTATAATGTGCTTGAAATCCCAGGAATCTGGCATTTAAAACATTCCTCCTCACTCTTTTTCTCATTTCTCTAGAGTTTAGATAAAAAAGATATCCGTGTATTATTACTTGAAAGTGTCATGATGGGAAATGTACTGCTAAAGTTTATGACCATGAATGAAAAGTCAAATGCCAAGTCAAGCATTCTTTCGCTACGCAACATAAAATTGGTTTGTAATAATATAAATGTATCTTTGAAAAATACATATTTTTCTAATAATTATTAATAGTTGGTATGATTTGAGTATGAGCAGTGTTGCAAACTTTCATGTGTTAAACGGCTTGGTCCCCATGATGTGGTATTGAGGAGGCACTATGGACCTTTAATAAACCTTTTCTATTTATAAGTTAATTGCCCCAAGTATTTCATTGTAGTGACTTCAAGATGACAAATACAATAATCATTAAATAAAATTTAAAAATAATAATGATTTCTGCTTTTTTCTGTATGGTAGAATTCTCAAGAATTACTTGCCAAATTTTTTTTCTAAAGTCAAAGATCATTTTTAAAATTTATTTTTCCACTTCTAATCTTCTGAAAAGAATAAAACAATTAAAATGTAAGTATATTCTATCTTATACTTGTTTTCTAGAATGCATTAAATGTTGTTTTTTTGTTATGAGCTAGAAAAAGTTGGTTTAAAATTAATCCACAATCAATCTGAATGAGATCTTACCTTCAAGTTTGTTGTTTTTCCTCTTCAGCCATTTCTCTACAGTCTCTGCACTAACACTTTCAGATACAAACTCATCTAACACCTGGGGATGAAGAGATAGGTATGCCTTCACCTTTTCATCTGTCAAACCTGTAAAAGAATTGAAAACAATAAATTTACCTATATGACATGTTGATGTAAATGAAATAAACAATATAACAACACATTGTACGAAGGTCCAGTAATCTCTACCCTGCTGGAGGGAGCTAGAATGAGAAGGTTTTGCTTAATGGGTATACAGTTTCTGCCTGGTATTAAGGCAAAGGTTTGGATGGTTGCAAGATATTATGAATATAGGGCTGGGGATTTAGCTCAGTGGTGCCACTACCTGCCTCACAAATGCAAGGTCTTGAGTTCGATCTCTGGTACAAAAACAAGAAAAAAAAAGATATTGTGAATATAATTAGTGGCACTGAACTGTATACTTGAAATAGTTAAAAACAGTATTTTATAGTATATACATTTACCACAATAATAAAAAGTATCTAGAGTCAAAACTTTAGCAATTTTAACTGGTAAATATTTCACAGCATGCTACACAGCTGTTTTCTAACAGTAAATTTGGGGGCTATATGTGAACCAATGTTGTGCTCTATTTTGTGCATTAAGCTTTAAAAATACTTATTTTATGGTAAGTTGTTATCATAGATTCATTACAAAAGCAAGTGAAACTATCAATAGAAGCAAGCAGAACATAACGGTGGACCACAATAGATACCAAAAAGTGTTTAATGAATAAATAAATTAATTCTTATATTTTACTGCCTCAAAACACAAATAACTCCTTTTTCTCAGAGGTACTAAGCCCAGCAGTATAAGTAATGTTCAGATCAGAATAATCTTGGCATTTGTTCATTGTTATTCTATTTATATAATCAATTTAACTTAAATAACGTTCAGTCTAGTAACTGTTAAATATACATAAGATTTTCAAAGTAATTTCACATTGAACATAAAACTACATATTTTCAAATTTAAAATACTTAACACAAATGGACTATAAATAATTTTCTCAGTGATGATAATTTTTTTTACTACTGCATCTTCTCTGTAAATGATTTCAATAAATTACCATCTGTAGGGATGGGTAGGTGGTAAAGGCAATGGGAAATTGTACTTAGAGACATATAAAAAGAAAGGAAGCAAAACTTTATGGCTCTAGACAGTAGGCCGTATGTTTTCCCAAACAGACAAAGCACTGAATTCATATGTGCTAATTAATTCTGCTGCAAACTAAAATCACATCTGTTAGGATTCTACAACAGAACAGTATGAGAAGACAAATTCAGAACAGTATGAGAAGATTTATTTCAATGAAATTAGTAGTATTTAATCAATTTCAACATACACATTATGTATGAGGTAAGAAAAAAAGCACCCATATATATTTACCCAGGGCAGAAGTACCCTGGTGGTGTAAGCTTCAATCTGACAAATTCCACAAAATGTAAAGACAAGAGACTCATTAAAGTAAGAATGAGCTAGCCTGAGAAAGCCCAGGTACAAAAAGCACAGGATGTTGAAGTAAGCCAATAGCATGCCTGATCTTTAAGACAACATAAATTTCACATTCTCTGTGATTATGTTCTACATAGTGGAACACATTCCACACTTGACTCATTAAAACACTGCCTTACAGTTCTTATCCAACTTTCTAATTGTTCCTGATTTCTGCTTTCTGGTCAACAATCCTTGACAAGGACACCAACATTTGAAACTGGAATCTTAGTGTATTTTATCTCCAGGCCTTGCAAAATCTTACATCACCTCAAGATGAGATATGGGACTCAAAAATAAAGGAGTCATCCTCCCAAAGATTTTAACTCTCAATTTTCCTTTCACTGTTATGTTTCTCTGAGATTACCCAGAAACTCAGGTTTCCAAATATAAAGTCATAACTGACTCATCCCTCCTGTCAGCCCATTTCACCTCAAGACTATCAAACAAGTTTTATTAGCCGAATTACAGTACATATACAAAGGACTTTCATTCACCATATACAGTGAACACTTAAAACTCAACAATAAGAAAACAAACAAAAACTGGGCCAAAGATTTGAGCACCCACCTCACCAAAGAAAATATAGATATGGAAAATAAACATGAAAAGATACTTGTCATTAGTGAATTGAAGTTAGACCTGAGTATCTTACCACAATGGCTAAAGTCCAAAAAACAGACAGTATTAATTGTTGGAATGAATGTAGAGCAAAAACAACTCTCATTTGTTGCTGGTAAAAATGCAAAATGAGGGGCTGGGGATTTAGCTCAGTGGTTCCGCCGCCTGCCTCACAAGTGTAAAGACCTGAGTTCTATCCCTGGTACCAAAAAAAAAAAAAAGTGCAAAATAGTGCAGTTGCTTTGGAAGACAATTTAGTTGTTTATTACAAAATTGAATATATTCTTTCTGTGTGACCCAACAATCACAATACTTTGTGACACTTGGTATTTACCCAATTCACATGAAGAGTCATCATGTCCATGTGATAAATGTTTATGGGTAGCTTTATTCATACTCACTCCTAATCTAGACTCATCCAAACTATCCATCTATAAGTCACTACATAGACAAATTGTAATATAGCTATATACTAAATATTATTTAGTAATAAAAATAAATGAGCTAATGATCCACGAAAAGACATGGATGAGCTTGGGTTCTTCTGTCTTGTTTTGCTTTGTTTGCAGTTGGAGATAGAACCCATGGCCTCACGCATATTAGGTAAGCACTCTACCAGTGACTCACATGCCCAGCTCTGACATGGATGTGTCTTAGATGCATAGTAGTATTAAGAAAAAATAGCCGACTGAAAAGGTCACTTATTATATAATGTTAACTATACAACATTCTATAAAGGGCAAAAGAATGAAGAGTAGAAAGCTCAGTACTTTCCAGGGTCCAAGGAGAAGGGAGAAAGTTGGAATGCGAAGCACAACAGATATGGGGGGGGGGGTAACAAAACTATTTTGTATCATACTGTAATGGTGAATAAATGACACTGCATTTGACCAAACCCACAGAAGTTTACTGCATAAAAGTAAACTGTAGTACATTCAAATTTTGTAAAAAACTTTTGAAGGTCAGAGTTGAAAGTCCTGTTCTCAAAAAATAAAATAAAATAAAATAAAATAAAATAAATAAAATAAACCTATTACAAATTTGGAAAAAAATCTTACTGAAGGGGAGGAAGGATAAGTTGCTTACCTATATTATTTTGGAAATGAGTAAAATCTATAAAACCAAATGAACTGAAGCTGTATATAAGCTTTGTACTCTATTTGATAAAGTTGTCAAACTATAGGAGTAGAGTTATAATTCTGACACTATTACAAAAACATACTGGAAATGGACAATTAAATAAACAGATGGTAAATGTTGGTAACAAGATTTCTCAATGATAGAGTGGGGTTACTGATAAGCTAACAGAGAAGTTGTGATCCATGTATTAATGGATTAGAATTAGAGTTCTCAATATGAACTCATGTTTAAGTTTAATATAGACTCAGGTGTTTACATATAGGAATATAAGTAGATATGTATAGATACTCAAGTTAATATACATATTTTATGTTGCTGTTAGTTGAGAGGACACAGAAAAAAGAATATCCAAATACCAAGGAGCAAATACAGTATGCAGTTTATGGTTTCTATTTCAGATAGAGTATCTCTTATTCAAAATGTTTGGAACCAGAAGTGGTTCAGATTTTGCAATATTTGCATATACATAGTGAGACATGTTGGGAATGACACTCGTGTCTAAAAAAGAAATCCATGTTTCATATATAACTCATTCAGAGCCTGAAAACAATTTTTTTTTACAATATTTTAGTGTATCTGCATTTTCAATACAACCCATTACACAAAGTCAAGTAGGAAATTTTCCACTTAAAGTGTCAAGTCAGATCTCAGAAATTTTCAGATTTCGGATTTTTAGATTAGGAATGCCTAACCGGTACTGTTCTCAAATAAAAGGAACAGGGATCCTTGGAGAAATGAAGAAAATACATGAACTTAGATCAGCCAGTAATTAAAAACTTGTCACCAATAATCCATATAATGTATCATATGGATAGACTAATAGATAACTATCCTGAAGTAACAGGCATATTTTAACCCATATATTTAAAAATATTTTACTTTTTTTTTTTGCTTAAATTCTTTTATTGGTACATTTTAGGTATACAGTATGTTTACATTTATCATTGGGTGCTTGCGCCTCTACATGATGTATCTTGGTTCTTATTTTTTTTCCATTCTCTGTGCTCCCTTAACCCCCTCCACCCTAAAATATTTCACTTTTACTAATAAATAATTTCATCTATGCAAAATTTTTCCAGAGCAAACAGATTAGACTAATTAAACTCATTTTTATTTTCAGCATCTGGAAGGGATGCTAACAAGGAGGGGCTGGTTTAAAATTGTAAGTGAGAGAAAGAAAGCACAAGGGTATTGGTAGATGGATCAGACTAAGTTAGGAAAAACTGGATAAATTTTATTCATTTTCACACACAATTGATAAGTGCTGACTGAAAATGGCATGAAGGACTTACACCCTAAGCAAACTAAAGGCTGGAAAGCACAGGAGCTCATATAACTTAACAATGAGTGTAAAAATGAAGAAGAAGAATAAAAGAATAATAAAAGAAGAATAATAAAAGGTTGATGATAGTAAAAGTAATCACTTTCAGAACTAGCAATTCAGCCAGCAACCCAAGGGATAGATAAGGAATAGCTTTATTTTAATGCCCATAATTTAAAGAAACAGATTGACAGGCAAGTAAAAGCCACATCAATATCTCCTACTTCAATATTTTATTACTAAACCACAGAGTGAAAAAGATTACCACTATTTTTGCTTCCAAGTATGGTAATTCCTTTGCAATAACAAATACTAACATCAATGACAATACATTTTCATATGTGTAATAAAAAACCATTGACTGAGGCTACTTTCTTCTGTCTTGATAAAAGCGATATAATCTTCTAACAATTTAGCACATTATCATGCTACAGTTTTGGCTTATGCTGTCTGCAAGGTACAAATCCATATTTCTTTTTCATATGGGGTTTATATGTATACATATTTATGT